TCCACCGGACCACACCTTCACCTCCTTGCATCAAACCATGCCCCTGTACCAAAGGCTGTGGTGTGTGGGCAGGCGGGCGGTCGCATGGGCGGGTCCATGTCCTGCATACTGGGTGGCATGGGCGGGGCCTGCCTCTGGTGGGCGGGGCCTGGCTTGCCCCTGTGCAGGCTCTGAGCTGCTGGGCCCTTGGCAGATGGAGAGCGAGTGGCAGCCGGAGCACGAGGCCCAGCGGCTGCGGGAGCACCTGGGCCTGCTGCTGGACCGAGTCCTGGAGGCCAAGCGCCTGCCTGGGAATGGGTCCTGGGCGCCAGAGCCCCCGGAGCCAGCCGGGCTCCCAGAGAGGTGGGATGCCCTGGAGAGGAAGACAGCCACCTTCGAGAACATCGTTTGTGTCCTGAACCGGGAGGTGGAGCGCGTGGCCATGACGGCCGAGGCCTGCAGCCGGCAGCACCAGCTGGACCAGGAGAAGATCGAGGCCCTCAGCAGCAAGGTGGGCGGGCAGCTACGGCGCTGGGACGTGGGGAGGGGGTGTGTGAGCTCGCGTGCACCCAGGCGTCCTCAGCATTGGCCTGGCACAGTCTACGCTTGCGGCTCTGGGGCATGTTTCTTCCCACCATGGGGTCTTGGGGGCTGCACGGGGGCACCCCACAGTCAGGAAGGGGCCGCAGTTGAGAGCTGCCCGGCGGCCGCCCTGCAGGTGCAGCAGCTGGAGCGCAGCATCGGCCTGAAGGACCTGGCCCTGGCCGATCTGGAGCAGAAGGTCAGGGAGGTGGAGGCAGCCACCTACGACGGCATCTTCATCTGGAAGATCACTGACTTCGCCCGGAAGCGCCAGGAGGCAGTGGCCGGCCGCGCCCCTGCCATCTTCTCCCCAGGTGCTGCCACCAGCTGGGAGGCTGCCCTTGGGTGCGGTTAGATCAGGGTGCCTGCTGGAGCCCCGCCCCTGCTCCCCTCTGCCCCGCCCGGCTTTCTCACTCCCGCCCTGCCCCCACAGCCTTCTACACGAGCAGGTACGGCTACAAGATGTGCCTACGAATCTACCTGAATGGAGACGGCACTGGGCGCGGCACCCACCTGTCCCTCTTCTTCGTGGTGATGCGAGGCCCCAACGACGCCCTGCTGCGCTGGCCCTTCAACCAGAAGGTGCGTCCTGCCGCACGGTGTTCTTGGAAGGGCGTGGTCCCTGCCCTGCGTGGCTGCTCTCGGTGGGAGCCCCCAGAACCCTGGGGACAGCAAACCCTGCTGGGTGGGTTGCTGGAAGCTGGCGCAGAGCGATGGGTCTCTGGGCGTGGGAAGGTGGCACATTTCATCTGTGGGGATAGCAGGGGGCACCAGGGAAGGAGGACAGCTCCTGTTCACCCACACGCAGGTGTATTCCCGGAGGTCGTGTTTAACCGTGTCCGCTCAGGAGTGCGCAGTTCCATGCAAGTCCCCTCAGGGGCCTTCAAAAGAGCAGTTACCGCCACGTCTTCTAGGGGGCAGCTGGCCCGCCAAACCCAAGACAGAGTGCCGGCCTTGGCCGCCCTCAGAGGTCACTGGGGCAGCCTGCTTCATCAGGGTCTTCCTCTTTGAAATGGGCTCCACTTTTACAAGCATGGCGTCCTTCTCCAGGGATGTCCCCTGAGGACAGGTCTCCATCCTCACCTCTAAGGAGCATCCAGCTGTGCTTCTTCCTGGAGACCTGCCTGTCCGTCTGGCTGCGTCCACGGTGCCTTCAGTCCCCTTCACAGCACCGTCTCCAGGGCACTGCTCTGCTTCAGTCTCTCACCCACTGTCCCCCTCATGACTGGTGTGACTGAAAGCGCCACGGCCTGGTCGGGTGCACCTTAGTCCTTGGAGCGGCGTCCCCAGCTTCAGCGCTTCAGAAGGCTGTGCAGACGGCTTCGTGCGCTGCGCGGTGATGCAGGCACGATGGCGTTCTTTGCTCCGTTCATCCCCGGGTTTGTTGTCTCTTGGGCCGGCTGTGAGGACTGGGCTTTCCTTTGACCGCACGGTCCTTGATCTTCATGTTGAGTCTCCACCCTGTCGACCGAATCGTCCTTGATGTCTGTCAGTCAGCCAGAGCCTCACTCCCGCCTGGCTCCCAGCAAGGTGGTGTGCTGCCCCCGCACGTCTCACGGTGGCCAGTCCGTCACCCCCAGCCCTGAGGCCACTTGCTGCACAGCGGCCAGCTGGGCAGCACACAGACGGAGAAGGACGCCACCCAGACATGTTTTCCTTGGTGCTGAAGCACACCTGTCCCCTCGCTCTGTCCGTATCAATGACTGCCTCTTGGTGCACACCGAGGCAGTGTGGCATTCCTGTCCTCAGTACATCATCAGCGGTTTGCTCAGGTCCACACGGGGGAGCACCGGTCCACAGTGAGACGCAAGCGAATGTCTTCTGGCGCGCTCTGCTTTCTGCCAAGAGCCATGGCTGTTAGCGGGATCTTCCTCCTACCCTGCCCTCTTGAGTCTGGCTGGAGTAGCTGCCAATTTTCCTGTCAAATGTATCGACACAACCAGTTTTTAATCGTCCTCGACAACATTGTATTCGCACGTGGTATTGATACAGTTCTGTAATTGCTGCCATCTGTTGGGCCACTGGTCTCTGGAATGGACACAGGTGTGGATCTCTTCCAGCCAGCCAGCCAGCCCAGGAGCTGTCCTCCAGCTCTCCTGGGTAGACCAGCGTCCAGCGCGTCATCTGTTTGCTGAGATACTCGGTTGGTGCCCATCGTTCCTGGAGCCTTGTCTGCGCTAATACCTTCTTCCATGCTCCCTCGGCTCTTGCTCCTGTGCCCGGTTCCTTCTGCCCCGACTCCATGGCCTGCCGTCCTGGATGCCTGCTGCGCCGTCCTTCTTGTCCGCAGACCCTGGTGGCTCGGACCCTTCGCTTTTCTCAGCAGCAGATTTGCTGAGTGTGTGGTGGCACCCTCTGAGGATGGGCCGCTCTGCCTCCACTGCAGAGGGTGCTAGAAGTTGGCTCCGCACAGCTCACTGGGCAGTTCTGAGGACGGGCCACACTGCCTCACTGGCCCTAGCTGGTTCTGTGCTGACCCCTAACGCCCCCCCCCCCCCCCAGGTGACACTCATGCTGCTGGACCAGAACAATCGGGAGCACGTGATCGATGCTTTCCGGCCCGACGTGACCTCCACCTCCTTCCAGCGGCCGGTCAGCGACATGAACATCGCCAGCGGCTGCCCCCTCTTCTGCCCCGTGTCCAGGATGGAGGCCAAGAACTCGTACGTGCGCAACGACGCCATTTTCATCAAAGCCATCGTGGACCTGACGGGTCTCTAGTCACTCCCACCTGGGCTCTGCGCCAGGCATGGCCACCAGGTCAGGAGGCTCACTGTGGACGCCAGCCTGGGGAGCAGGGTGTGGCAGTGGTCGGCATGGTGGCTTGCCATTGCTCCTGCAGCGTGGGCACTGGAGCCCAGCAGAGCACCTGCAGGACCCTCCAGGGTTACTCGGGCGTGGAAGCAGGGAAGGGGGACTACGGGCCCTTATCTCTCCAGCACTGGGGTGCTGGGCCCAAGGTGCAGGTGGTGTGGGTGTGTGCTCCAGCCCCGCTCCCTCAGGACCAGTTAGCAGCACCATCAGCTGATCAAGGACTCACCATTAAATCTTTCAAACCTGCAGGACATGTGGCGTCCTCCTGGCTGTCCACTGTGGGGGGATGGGGGTCTGTGCCCCAGACACCGAGCCTCCCCAACTCCCATCTGGCTGTGTTCCCTGCCAACCACCCGGTGGCCCTCGGTGCAGAGGCCAGCGCCTCGTCACCTCTGGGGATGGGGACAAGTGTGGCACTGCAGGCTTGACGTCCGGGTCCCAGGCAGGTCTCAGAGCATTGGGCTGCTGGGAGCATTGATGGTGGCCCTGGGACAGGAGGGCTTGTGCCCTCTTGTGCCCTGAGCCCAGATGCCTGGCAGGTGTCCACTCTGGGCAAAGCTAGCAGGTGGGCAGTCCTGAGGTCAGTGGGTGGGGCTAGTCTGATGATGACCTTGAGCACATGGGCTATCCTGGGGAAAAGAGATGGTCCTGGGCAGTCCCAGGAAGAGGAGGGTGGAGGGGCTGTCCCATGGTTAGCAGGTGGGACCAGGGAGAGAGGCTGCCTGGGTCAGTGGGGACCTCCCCCTTCTACTTGATGGCCGCACTCAGACTTGAGTTGAAGCGGGTGTCCCTGCCGGCTCTTAGCAGAAACACATGCACATGCTGTGTTGCTGAGCCCTTGGCTGACCATCATGAGCACACTCCACACACCCCAGCTACATCCAGTGCGCTCCCAGCAGCTGGAGCTGCCCCAGCGCTGTGCCGTCCTGTCCGTTCTGAGACATCCCAGCATCCTGTGCCAAGTGAGCCTGGACAGAGAAGAACCCCTCAGAGTCACCGCACTAGGCTTCTGGCCAGTGGTCCTCTCATCCCACAGAGGCCATAGTCCAGGGACCCCCTGGAGCCACTCACCGCTACAGGGCCCTCAGAGGACCAGGTGCTGCAGGACTGGGACCTCACTTCCCCCCAAGTTGCCCTGGACGGGGCGGGTCACTGCTTCCAGGATATCCCTGCATGTGTTCCTTACAAGCAGCCTCCTGCTGCACATAGGGCCCTGTGACGTCACACAGGTTCCTGCAGAATGACACTCATCCCCGAGGGGTGAGGGACCCTCTGCATGTGGGCCTATGAGGGAGCTGATAAAAAAACAGGACTGGGCAGGGCCCCATCTGAAGAGGCTGTGGCCGCCCCTGCGCTATGCTGCCGGTACCTGGTCACTGCCTTCACTCCCACCGCTCTCGGGCACGGCCCTGAGGACACCACACTGGGGTGGGGCACAGGGCAGGTAGAACTGCGCCTGTGAATTCCCCAGACTGTTTCCCGGAGTAGAGAGCTCCGTTCTCATGGAGGTGCTGGTGGTTTCCAAGTGCCAGCTTTGGGATCACTGCACCACCAGGCCTGCTCTAGAGCGTTGCGGAGTCTGCATTTTGAGAAACGAGCTTCATACACCTGTTTGACCTAGAAGGCCAGCCTGGCCCTGACCCACATGCTCGGGGCTGGTGGTTAGTGACGGCCCTGACCCGTGCTGGTGCGAGCACTGCGCACTTCCCACGGCTGGGTGCGGGCTTGCCCGCCTGGGTGGAGTTTGGATGGCTGCTTCTTAGGGGTGTATTGATTTCACTGTGCTGTTTCCTGGGGCACAGCGTTGTCCGCAGGCTCCCTCCGTGGGCCCTGCTCTGTGTTCTCTTCCTCTGCTGCGGGGGGTGGGGTGGGGGCGGCACAGCCCTGCCCGCCCTGGAGGCCCTGAGCTCCAGTGGCCTCCCGTGTTGCTCGTTGGCCGAAGTGCTTTCTCCTTTCCCTGTACACCACCCTGCGCTTCCTGAGGGTCCCCTCGTGGTCAGTCTGCCAGCGGAATAGGGTGATGGACCCGAAAAACCTTGTGCTGCAGGCTTAGCTCACACCCAGCCTCCTGAGGCAGACCCACCTGCTGCCTGCCCGGCTACTCCACGGTGGCCCCAGGCCATGTCACATGGGAGTGAGCCTGGCCCCACAGACACAGCACAGGGGTCAGGTGAGTGCTGCTGTGGGCCTTTATTCAGGGGACATGCGGCACCCTCTAGTGTGGCAGGTGGCTGCAGCCAGTGGAGAGGCCTGGGGTCTGGACAGTCGAATTCAGTACTGGACTGTGGGCTGCAGCGGCTTGTTGGCCACATGGTGCCACACGTACGACCAGAGCAAAAGCCCTGCTGAGGGCTGTCCAGCCGGGCAGCATGTCCTCAAGTCCCTGCACAGGGCCAGGCAGGAGGCAGACGGGGATGGGAGGGGTGGTGTCATATGGCTGTGGTGACTGTCCCCGAGATACCCAGTGTCACAGCTGGGAGGTGTGTGGCCGTGTGTGAGTGGTTGGGGCATTTGGCCCCCGGGTGCCCAGTGTCACAGCTGGGAGGTGGAGGTGGCTGTGCGTCTAGTGGTCAGGGCATCTGGTCCCTGGGTACCCAGTGGGGAGGTGGGTGGCCCAACCTAGCACACTCCCTAGGGCAGCAGTGCTGCTGTAGGCTCCACCCCCATCTACCTGGGCAACCAGAGGCTCAGCCAAGGAGAGGGTTCGACTTCCTAGGCGGGGCCAAGGACAGCAGGCAGCTGCCACCCCTGCCTGGAGCTTGTCCCTCCGCCAAAGCCGGTCAGCGCCTCTGACCGGCAAGCCAGAAGAAGAAGGGGCGTGGGCGTGGGCGTGGGCGTGGGGCCTGGAGGGCACGCACGGTGTGTGGAGAGCGCCAGACCTTGATGGTGGCGTCGTCGCTGGCGGTGAGCAGGAGCTCCTGCTCGCAGGGGTTGAAGGCCACCGAGTTGACCACGTCCTCGTGCCGCAGCCTGGCCAGGCAGGTGCCGTAGTGCCGGTCCCAGATGTAGCCATGGCGGTCCTCGGCCCCACTGTGGGTGGCAGCCATGAGGCTCCGAGGGCAAGCCCATGACCCCCCCATGCCCCACCCGGCTGGGCCTCACCTGGCCACAAAGTCCCTGCTGACGTCCAGGAAGATGAAGAAGCACTCGTCGTTGGGGGTGTAGGCGCGGTGGGCCCGCAGCGCACGCCGCACCTCACGCATGGTTTTTAGGTCGAACACGTGTAGGTCGATCTCCTCGGCGATGGGTGGGGGCAGCATGGGGTCGGCCACCACCGCGTCACTGGGCCAGGAGCGGCTGTTCACATACAGGTACCTGGCCAGAGGACACAGCTTGGACGGCGGCTGGCCCACCACCACCCCCGCCTCTGCAGGTGGGCGCTGCCGTCCCAGGCCCACCTGTGGTCGGGCGACAGGCCCATCCCAATGACGTGTCCGTGGACGTCGATGACATGGTCCAGCGAGTCAAAGAACTCATCAGCACCCCGCTCCTCCCCGAGCACCGGCCCCACCG